GTTTAGTAAGGCGTCATATGACACAGGTTTGTGCTGGGACAGTGCTTCCGGTGACGACACAACAACTGATATAATTTCATCCAATTGATTTGTTAGGTTGTTTGCTATACTACTGATATAATTCCTCCAATTGAGTTGTTAGGTTGTTTGCTATACTACTGATATAATTCCTCCAATTGATTTGTTAGGTTGTTTGCTATACTACTGATATAATTCCTCCAATTGATTTGTTAGGTTGTTTGCTATACTACTGATATAATTCCTACAATTGATTTGTTAGGTTGTTTGCTGAACTACTGATATAATTCCTCCAATTGATTTGTTAGGTTGTTTGCTATACTACTGATATAATTTCTCCAATTGATTTGTTAGGTTGTTTGATATATTACTGGTATAATTCCTCCAATTGATTTCTTAGGTTGTTTGCTATACTACTGGTATAATTCCTCCAATTGATTTGTTAGGTTGTTTGCTATATTACTGGTATAATTCCTCCAATTGATTTCTTAGGTTGTTTGCTATACTACTGGTATAATTCCTCCAATTGATTTGTTAGGTTGTTTGCTATACTACTGATATAATTCCTCCAATTGATTTGTTAGGTTGTTTGCTATACTACTGATATAATTTCTCCAATTGATTTGTTAGGTTGTTTACTATACTACTGATATAATTCCTCCAATTGATTTGTTAGGTTGTTTGCTGAACTACTGATATAATTTCTCCAATTGATTTGTTAGGTTCTTTGCTATACTACTGATATAATTTCTCCAACTGATTTGTTAGGTTCTTTGCTATACTACTGATATAATTCCTCCAATTGATTTGTTAGGTTGTTTGCTATACTACTGATATAATTCCTCCAATTGATTTGTTAGGTTGTTTGCTATACTACTGATATAATTCCTCCAATTGATTTGTTAGGTGGTTTACTATACTACTGATATAATTCCTCCAATTGATTTGTTAGGTTGTTTGCTATACTTCTGATATAATTTCTTCAATTGATTTGTTAGGTTGTTTACTATACTACTGATATAATTCCTCCAATTGATTTGTTAGGTTGTTTGCTATACTTCTGATATAATTTCTTCAATTGATTTGTTAGGTTGTTTACTATACTACTGGTATAATTCCTCCAATTGATTTGTTAGGTTGTTTACTATACTTCTGATATAATTCCTCCAATTGATTTGTTAGGTTGTTTGCTATACTTCTGATATAATTTCTTCAATTGATTTGTTAGGTTGTTTACTATACTACTGGTATAATTCCTCCAATTGATTTGTTAGGTTGTTTACTATACTACTGGTATAATTCCTCCAATTGATTTGTTAGGTTGTTTACTATACTACTGGTATAATTCCTCCAATTGATTTGTTAGGTTGTTTACTATACTGTTTATGTAATTCCTCTAAATGATTTGCTGAGTTTTTGGCTATTCTACTGGTATAATTCCTCAAATAAATTACGGTGTTCTTGTATCTGCATAGTATTAACCACTATCAATTCTGTCACTTCTTACACAAATTCATGTGAATCTCTGATAGAGGTGCACTCAAATCAAATATTGTATTTATTATAATATCACTTATTTGACACATCTGTCATTTACATTAACACTCCTAATGTAATAGATACAGTATTACACACGAGATTATTAAAATATGACTTAAGGTAGTTTGAGTATAGACATATCTATGTCATACACTTCTCATAAAGCAAATATTGTGTAACATTGTGCTTTTTTGCAAAATGTTGAAAAGTAACCATCATTATCATTCATGATATCAAAAAAAAAAACAAATTTAGCCGCAAACTGAAAAGTACTCATCACAGGGATTTTTATAAACAAGGGAACAGGGGCACAGCGCCCTTATGTCATGGCCATGCGCCCCTTTACCCTGGGCAGCAAATCGTCTGGCAACCATAAAATTCTGATTGACCAGGGATCACATGTGGCCACAGTCTTTCTAATAGTAATTTTGGCCCCAAGGAAGCCATAGAATGCCTCATTTTCACTTAGAATTATCAAAAACTCCACACCCTGGTAGGGAGAACCCTATCTCCCCCACTTGGTGGCGCCGCTGAATTACAGTTCTGAGGCTCTTTTTGCATTTTTTTTCTAGAAAAAAACCAGCTCATCACATTAGATTTAATCACTTAGAGTCTTCTATGTTGTTCAATTATGATGTTATGATGTCATTAATTATGACAATTTAAATATAGTAATTAAGTCTAGCTCCAAGTCTAGTGAAAAAGTACTCTATATGTCTGATTTGACTCAAATCTGGTTTTCGCATTTGAATTTATATATAATACAGTTAGTTCACATGTACACTGAAGTCGGCTAAAGCATGTATAAATTATTTATACAATAATACAGTAGGTATTGTATGAGCATGTGCATTGACATTGTAATTTATGTCTGATTGATGCTTTGTGAAATGGAAGGGGGAGCCTTCCTAGCCGATCTCATTATCTCATTTGCGAATTAAATGAGGGGGTGTTTATAAGTTGTTAAAAATGTATTTATAAAAACAAGTCATTGAAAATGATACAGTCCCCGTTAAATTTTTGAAAGTTATCTTTGTGCTTGTCATATTAAAGTGGAGGGGTTGTCACGAGCACAGTCCTTGAAACTTGAGTCCCAAGTGGCGTATACAACAGATTGTTTATTTACATCAAATTAGAACACATGTTGCGTGACGACCCCTCTGGTTTAAGACATAGGAAAGAAAAACATAGATCACAAGTTAAAGCATGTCCAAGTTATCACATTTCAAACAAACAAGATGACCGCCAGTCGGCCATATTTGATCAAATTGCAAATTGAAATGTACATGTATCCATTTATGACATGCTAAATTTCAATGGAAATGATACAGTTGTGACAGAGATATAGTAATATGGCCAAAAATAAAAACAGTCGTTATTCAGCCATCTTTGATCTGATTATGAAACACACTGATATGTATGATGTATGTGTCAAATACAAATGAAAATGGTACATAGGAATAGAAACTGGAAGATAAAAACATTGACATTTCAAAAAGAAAATGTCAGTTTTGTCAATTAAACCAAATAGAAAATGAAGAGCACTTCCTTCTTAAATGCGGTCTCTATAAAAAAGAAAGAAATGAGCTTCTCAAAAATTTGATGCTACCTCCAAAACTTCCTGACAAAGAAAAAATAGTTGCAATACTAAACAATGGTAGTAAAAAATTAGCTCCTCAAATTGCTAAGTACATAGATGATTGTTTTAAAATCAGGGAGAACAACCTGAAAAAAGTACTACCAGCTGCCTCAAAATGAATAAAAAACATTTACTTTCATTTATTATATTTTATTAATACCTTTGTTTTATACTCTTTTAATCTCATTTAATTTTTTTTTTTTTCATTGCTATACCTTTATTGTATTCTTCAATCAAAGTCCCATAGAGGATACGATAACAATAAAGATGATTATTATTATTACATAAATCTTGGAAATATAGTAATAAGGCCAAAAAGTCAGATGGCTGTCAATCGGCCATCCTTGATCCAATTTTGAAACAAATTGTCATGGACATGTATCATAACATGTATAAAGTATCTGCCAAATTTGAATGTAAACTGACAAAGCATGTCCAAGATACCATATTTAAAAAAACAAAAACAAGATGCCTGATAGTTGGCCATCTTTGATCCAATTGCAAAAGAAATTGTCATGGACATGTATCCTAACATGTATAATCTATGTACCAAGCATGTCCAAAATACAATATTTCCGAAAAACAAGATGGCTGCCAGTCGACCATTTTTAATCGAATCGCTAAACCACTGCATGTGCATATGTCCCACATAAAGTGCTAGGCAAATGCAAAGAATGAATGGAATCGGTCCAAAGGATTCTGAAATATGACTCCAGACGAACGAACGGATGGACAGAGACCGAATTATAAGTCCCCGTTTTCGGACTTCGTCCGAAAGGGGACTAATAATCCGTTCTTTGCTGACGTCAGTGTAGTGGCTTTCAATCTACGTACCTGTTCTGCGAGCAAATCATGTAACAATGTTATGACTTTCAGCTTCAACGGTAACACAGATATATCACTTTGTTTGAACAATGAAGAGAAAATGCTCAGTCCTCCAAGTTGCAAAAATTTGTTCTGCGCATATGGGAATTGCCTGATAAGTGAAGACAACGCATATATTGCTTTTTTCTGCACTCCTATTGGTTGGTTACTAGAGAGTAAATGCAACAGCAGATGTATCGCCCCTCCCTCAACGGCTTGCACTTGAACTTTTGGATTACTGAAAATAAAAATAAACACAAGCTTTTATATCATGGTAAACAATCATATTAAAATCACATATCGGGGTTTCTTCGTGTTTTTTTTTATTATTCATTAAATTATGCATTTATATTTTTCAATTTTTGTTTTTTTCATTCATACATACATTATAATTTTTTTTAATAATTAAAAGGTTAAAAACAAATTTAAATAAAAATTACAAAACAATAAAGAACTGGGAAGTCTCACCCTAGGTTGAAAAGTGTGAACTCGGAATGTTGTCAAAGTAAGGTGCACATAATATTGATTGAAAAATGTTTAAAAAAATATGCAGAGGCTTAAACGCCAACTTCATTTTCCTGATTAAATATGGAACTGTAAATTACCTTTGGACGGCTGATCCTAAAACAAACGCACATTCTCGTCGTATTATTTCTTCAGTATCATTCAATCCTTTAATGATTATTTCTAGTCCACCGATCGTTGCCAAGTCTCTCGCATTGTCAATCTACAATGTAACACATGGTACTTTGAGCAATGAAGTGAAATTACCGGTAGTAACATTTTTATGAAATCAATAATTTTCTAATATATTTTAGTCATAATCAATAAAAAATATTAGATTATTATTAACAAAGATTCATGAGAGAAAAAGAAATCACGTAAAATGCGATTTGATTTCTGGAAATCCTAATTCAAATTAGTGAGACTGGTTGTGTCATTTGTTAAAGTATGTAATACATGTGTTTAGTGATTTTTAATGCAGTGATAATCTCGCTTATTTCTGTTCACGCAATCAAAAGTTTCCAAGTAACCATGTGACACTGTGGGTTAAAACTCCATTTGATTGCTGCACACCGAATGGAAACGCTTTCAAATGCCTGTGAGTGTTCGCTTCTCATAAGATCCACCATCATCGCCTATAACTGTACATGGTTATGACAGTTGCATACCTTTAACTTCTAAATCCTTCACAAGCTACCCCAACCCTAACCCTCTTTCTGTCTGTAGTGCGAAATAAAAATAAATTCAGTCACCATACCTGATGTACATAATACTCCAAATCGTTTAGTATAAGTTGTTTTTCTTCCATGGTAACTCCACTTTGTTGATATTTACTAATTAATCTCATCATAACATCAACGTCACTTTCTACATTATAGTTCATGTCTTCAAAATCTTTCTTCAGTTCTTCATAGCTTCGAAATTTATTTTTTATTTCCTTGTCCTGAAAACATAAATAGTGTGTAGCTGACATCAGTTTTAAAGTTGCATGTAAAAATACAAGCCAGAGTAAAAACTTCATATGAAAATTTCAATATAGCCATGGATTTTAACAGTGGCTCTATAAAATTATCCAGTGTCACACGACCCCCCCCCCCCCCCCGACAGATAATAATTGATAATGAATTTATTAGTTTTCTAGTTGTTTAGATTTGTCTTTGTACCAACTGAGAAATGACACTTTTATGCAATTTTACACAGAGATTATAAATTCAGGAGTTGTATTTCAATAACTTTGTTGGCGGGGTTGGGGTGATCATCATGCATTTTTTTATTTTTTGAGAGGCTTATACACAACCAGCATTTGTGCATGATAAAAAGTTGACTAAATATATACCATGGCTGTACGTACTTAAAAAACAGGATTTAAAAAAAAATTAAAAAATAAATAAGGAAACTCCAGGAAACTCAAATCAGCATCCCAAATTACATTAACCATAGTGATGACATACCTTTTCTTTGACATCATCTTCATTTGCTTTAAATTTCTTCAATGCATCCTTCAGTTCTTCTTTGGTAAAGAATTTTTTGTCAGTGTTGATCATACCACTCCGATCTCCTGCCTCCCAGTATTTTAAGTCATCTTTATTCCCTTCATCTTTGTCATCTTCATCCATTAGTTTAGCTTCTTTTATGCCAGTTTGTAAGTTCATCTTGATATGCAACCCAGCGGGGATTGCTTGACCTACAGATATCATATATTCAAATTGGTTATTATTAACATCCAGTGTGAAGCCAGGGCCAAGATCAAGTCTAAGATTCCAACATCAAATTCTGATTCAGTTTCCAAACTCAGATTCTGATTCTAACCCCAGATCCTGATTCTAACCCCAGATTCTGATTATAACCCCAGATTCTAATTCTAACCTCGTATTCTGATTCTAACCCCTTTTTTCGATTCTAACCTCAGATTCTGATCCCAAACTCAAGATTCTGATTCCAAAACCCAGATCCTGATTCTAACCCCAGATTCTGATTCCAACCTCAAATTCTGATTCTAACCCAAGATTCTGATTCCAACCTCAGATTCTGATTCCAACCTCAGAGTCTAATAATAATTCCAACCTCAGATTCTGGTTCTAACCTCAGATTCTGATTCCAAACTCAGATTAAAAAACCCAGATTCTGATTCTAATTCTAACGATTCTAACCTCAGAATTAATCAACACTTGAATTCAGATATACCCCCTGGTACATCTTTTATTCTGAGAATAGACAAACAAGGCGCCCTTGAAAATGCCTCTTACCTTTTGATTTGCTTACCTTCTTTGACAACTTGCCATTCTTTTGTTGGATAAAACACTTCCAATTCCTCTTCTTCTCCATCATGAATAGTAACATGATCATCATCATCATCATCATTATCATCACCTTCAACTATGATAATCGCATTGTGATTTTTCCTTCTTTCACCACCACTACCACTTTCTGGTTTAATCTGTTGCTGTACACTATTCTCTTTATTCTCAGCATGACTTGTAACTTCCGTTAATAAACATACCAAACATAAAACATACAAACTAGACCACAAAATAATACTGAACTTCATTTTCCTATATTCTGCAAGGCGATAAAAATACATCATATGAAGGAAACAATTAATAATTAACAATTCGGTAAACTGAAAGACGGATAATATATACCAGTATGAAATCAGTGCAATAGGCAATTGAAATTCCACTATCTGGCTAACAATATGACAGGTACACGTTTGAGTGAGTCTGTGAAAGAAGTCAGATCTGTCTATCAATATAAGTATTATTTTTCCAGTATGCTTGCATATATTGGTAGCCATTTGTCTGTAGCTTTACTTGTGTTTGTATTTAATCTTTGTAGTGGTAGTTGAGTTGTTTCTGATACATTTGGTGATTTTAAAAAGCCATTGTTTTCACCCATAGACTTGCTTTCACAAACGTGCAATACAAAAATGTACCACAACATCAAATTGTTTTTTACTATTGTAAGTGAGAAATTCAATGCTGGTGGTGATATTAATAAAGGAACAATTCATTTTAACGATAAAATAAAAAAACACAGTTAAAAGAAACACATAAGAGTTAAAACCATATATTGTTACTGATGTACATGTGATAGTACACCTGGTTTCGCCGTAGTTTTTCTTTTTTTTTAATCGTCGACAGGGTTATTCCATCGGGGAGTGATGACACGACCGTGAACGGATGAAATAACCCTACCGGCGAAACCAAGAGAGCTACAGAACTGCTAGACGGATGGTATTACGAGTTTCATCAGAACAATGACAGCTGCAGTTCTGTGGCTCTTGTTGTTGCGCGATCACCCCATGACGGACAATATGTCCTTATCGGCTACAGCGAAACTAAGAGAGCCACAGAACAGCAGATACTATAACCATGGAGTTCCATCAGTTATGCTAGAACCATCATGGCATTACCTGGTGAAACGAATCATGGAATTGTCAATAAAAAAAACAAAAAAAAACGGTACCTACCACCACCGGCTTGACTAGTAACACGTTTAGATCAAGACAGTCTGATTGACCGAGATATACGTTCAACTGAAGTGATCACATGTATTACATTTAAGTCAGGGAAACCCTACCGCTGACTCGTCACAACACAGGAAAGACACGTCAACCTTAAACCATATTGTAGAATCCCAGCTGATTACTCATTCTCACCTTTGACCTGTGTTGACCTTTCGTATCACAGTCTTTCAATGTTAAAAAGAAGAAACTACCGCAATTCGTAACGAATAAATTGTGATGAGAAATAAGCATCACATCATTTGTGGGGAAATCGGAACTGTGGAACAAGAAAAACAGAAATTTAAAACGATTTCGGTAAATGTGTCGCGCCTGGTTGGGTTAATATTATTTATCAATTAAATTGCTTAAATTTATCATCAGTTAATATTGTACAATAAATATTAATATCAAATTATTTATTTTTAAGAAATGGTTTTTACTGATATAAGTAATAGAATCAGTTACTAACTTTTTCATTTTCAATTAAAATGTGTGTTTCTTCTTAACAGTGGTATTAACTGGTTAGTTCCTGAAACTGCGTAAGGTCACCGCGCATGCTCCGAGTTACTCCTGCAGACACGTGTGAGAAGCGTCTTGTTGTACTTCGCTTGAGTATATTTCGCTTCTAATTTTAACTATACAAAATGCAACGAGAGTATTTTTGGGGTGAGTCTAATATTGAACAACTATTATTACATCTCACAGCGTGAACTATCTGATTCAGTATTGTCGATTTCTCGGTAGTATGTGTACCGGAAGTGAGTAAGGACATCATATCGTATGAGAAACACGTGTGCGTTTAAGACTAATATACCGTAATATTACAGTTACTAATTGGTTGGTAAGCCGGGCGATCATTTGAAATTATCTGAGGTGGCTGGAAGATTTGATAAAACCGAGATAGAGACGAATTGCATGCAAGGTGTTGCAGGGAAAAACAGTTGGCGCATTTAAGAAAAGTCCTGTACAGATAAGACAAAACAAATTACACTGATCACACTCTTCCAGCCACCCCCCTTTGATTTCAAATGTTTGACCCCTAATGACCTATGAAAGCATACTTAAATGCAATGAAAGGATTGTATCATAGTAATAATACGAGGTTATTACGAGGATTCTCTAAGACAAGCCTACGTCACAAACTGGTCAAATTCCCCCAAACATTGCCAGCAACCAATCACAGACTAGCTTAAACAATAGCTTTCCCTGACGGTAATACTTAGCAACGTTATTGCCCCCACGCTAACTTGAAACATCTTTTGTTTTTGTCTCGTTTCCGTTTCCGGTCTGTCTTAGAGAATACAGTACTCATTTCGCCCAACCTCCCGCCCGCTTCCGGATTTCGATCGCTTTTTTTTCGCTTGCTTTGTTCAATTTGACCGCGCAATTTCCGCTTTTTTTTCGACCGGGCAAATCCGGAAGTATCCGCTCACGCAATCGCTCGCTCGCTCGCTCGCCTGACAGCGCAACCGCCCGCATTTACAGTTCACTACCTACTGTTTCATGTACAAGTGTATCATTTTTGTTTTTATGATGTTAAAATAAGAATAAATACATTCAGAAATTTATAAAACGACCATTGAAAAATACGGTGGATCACACGGCCATATAAAATTGGTAATAATACATGCGCGTAGTAATAATGTCCACCATAAACAAGATCGAACCAAACATGTGAAATCAAATACGACACTGACACAGACACAACTAATATGAAATAAA